AGTCCTCGGTGGACAAGCCCGTGAGGGAAGCGATCGGATGCCTGATGTGGTTGCTGTTCACGAGGCCGGACATCGCGCTGCCTTTGAACAAGCTGCAGAAGATCGCCCACTCACCCACCGAGAGGATGTGGAACGCGCTTGTGCGGATCATGTCCTACCTCAACGAGACGAAGGACCTCGGGATCACCTACGTCCGCGGATCAGGGCTAGACCTAGACGTGTTCGTCGATTCTAGTTACGCCGACAGCACCGTTGACAGGCGTTCGACGACGGGGCTAGCCGTGACTGTAGGTGGGACCGTAGTGTGCGCATCCACGAAGACACAGCCAGTGACGGCTCAGTCGACCACGGAGGCAGAGTATATTGCAGCCGGGGAGGGCCTGAAGGAAGCGTTGTTCGTGCGTGGTGTTCTGTCGTTCATTGCGTGTGGGACCCCTTCCCCGAATTCGGGAGGGCCACTTCTTCCCTTCTTTTCCTCGCTCCCGCGGGTGCCTAATCAGAGAGAGTTAAAGCGTGTCTTCTCCTCCCAAGTACCGACATACCAACATGCTTGTCCTGTAGATGAAGATATGGCATATGCACACGAATGGAAAAGAGACAGATCGTCTATGAACAACGTGTCAGTCAGAGAGGGCGGCGCGTTCGCCCTCTTCCTACGTACCAGTAACATACGCCTAGGACAGGCGCGGTTGAGTGCGAGTCCTCCCTTACAGAGAGCAGCGGTCGCATAGCGACTGCGTCTCGCACGTTTCTCGGCATTTGGGCCAACGCGCGCGGCGTGCTGTGCATGTTCAATCAATCGTATCCGAAGGTGAGAGCCAAAACTGTGCTCGATTGCAACAGCAGCCACAACAGAAAAATATTGCAGCAGCAGGAGTGTCCCAAAGCACCCAACAGCAGTTGCGACGAGGGGCCGACAAGAGAGAGACCACTTGTGCCCCCCTTGAACCGAGAAAAAGAGCCCACCCCTTCCCCCAGAGCATCACACCCACAGCAGTACGGCATGTCGTTCGGGTGGCCTCTCACCGGATTATTTTTACCGTGCTAACACTGATCTTCACATACATGTCGAAGGTAAGGGGTATTATTAGCGACCAAAAAAACACGGAACATTTAACGAAGTCGTTTTTCTTGAACATATATGGAGGCGTTTTGTTCGTATATGTCCTTTACTTGGAACGGGAAGACGTTTTATCTCATATATAAGACACGCAAGGGGAGTAGGGGAAGTGAAGCCCTCTTTGGAGTTCGAGGGGTCCCCGCACATGCAACCATTTCAAGGTGTACATATGCCCCATCTGCGTGCCCTCTGTTGTTGCCGGTATATCTAACCAGTCCACATCCAAACACACGAACACCCTACCCGGTTTGCACGCGAATGGCAAATCTAACGTGGGGCATGGATACCCTGATCTACCAAAGGGACTCAAAACAACAACAGGCTCGAGGGAAAACCCGGCCAACCGGATCAAAAACCCTCGTCTAACAACCTAAATATAGAAAACCGTCGCTATCACGGAGGATTCCAACGACCGCACTTCCAAGACAAGACCAAGGCAGGACAGATTGAACCGGTCACGCTAATAGCACACCCGAAGCAAAGCTCTCGGCGTTTCTAGGCTCCAGCCGCGGGTGACGCGCCGGCACAACGCTTCCTGCGTGACGTACCATGGTCATTTATGCCAAGTGCTAAAACCACCACATAAACCAAACAGAACAAGAGAACACTACACCGGTAGGTTCATCAGAGCCTTCCGGTGGTACTCTTACTTCTCTCTGCGAAGGACCTTGGTCAGCATGTCGGCGTGCTGCTCTCCAGTCGAAAAATACTCTGCAGTGATCTTGCCCGACATGAATAGCTCGCGAATGAAATGGAACAGCACGTCGATGTGCTCGCTCCTCGCTGAGCTGAACGGGTTCTCGATTAAGGCGAGAGCCCCTTGTTGTCCTCAAGGCCCTTGATCTTCGCCCCACTCGTCTCGGGCGCTATGAAAGACAGAACACCACGCACAAACAACGCCTCCTTCACGCCCTCCCCTGCTGCCATATACTCTGCTTCCGAGGTCGACTGAGCCGTCACTGGCTGCGTCTTGGTGGATGCACACACCACGATACCACCTACGGTCACAGCTAGCCCGGTCGTAGAACGCCTGTCTACGTCGTTGTCAGCGTAGNTTGTCCTCAAGGCCCTTGATCTTCGCCCCACTCGTCTCGGGCGCTATGAAAGACAGAACACCACGCACAAACAACGCCTCCTTCACGCCCTCCCCTGCTGCCATATACTCTGCTTCCGAGGTCGACTGAGCCGTCACTGGCTGCGTCTTGGTGGATGCACACACTACGGTACCACCTACGGTCACAGCTAGCCCGGTCGTAGAACGCCTGTCTACTTCGTTGTCAGCGTAGCTGGCATCGACAAACACGCTT